TTTTAAGTTATTCAGTATATTTTTTGTATTACATTTAAGGGCTCCATTACATTTTTGGTCAATTATTACATTTGTGGCTTCAACACACATATATCAAACTTTATTATGATATTACATTTTGGGCGATCAGAATAAATATCACGTGACTGTGACGACACGGTATTTTTAGCTCTAAATCGAATTTCAGCCCTTGTATCGGTATTTTCTTGGAAAATGCCTTACGCTACGTATTACCTATCTATTTATTTAGATAAACAGCAATAAAACTAAAACTCTTTAATATATTTTCTATAAATTAAATTTTTCAGTGCTGCAATTGATCGGCGTACTTTGAAATCCGCGAATTTCATGTCCATTTAAAACAAAACTTCTAAAGTTGTTTAACACAAACGGATGCCCAAAATTGAAGCAATGTCATAGATTTGGATAATTTCTTGCACTGGGATTTGCTATTTGTAGTGTTGAGTCAGTTTAGGTCTTTGGTATGCGTGTGAACTAACTTTAAGTGTTAAGAGTATTTATGCAGGTGGTGGTATTTAAAGAGTGGAAATTATTATTAAGGGTCGTCGTTAGTTGTCTGCTTATAGCCGGCGTACTTAGGTAATTACTTAACACTTGAGGCTCGAGTTTACAACAACAACAACAACAAGTACTTCCCATGCAGCACACGATAATTTTCCGCGCGTGGCTGCCCATACCACCGAAATCTTTCCCGAACATGGTAATTTTGTAGAAAGGGATAAAGGTGAGGAAAGGGAAAACAATTAGAGAACATACGTTTTATACGCGTGCTCATCAGACGTCCATTATTTGCATATATTTATCAATTGATAACATTACCAAATTCATTTAATTTGAGATAGCGTGACACCGTCGCTACCTCTTTTCACCAGTCTTCTCCCTTTCACAACATTGCCATATTTCAGAAAGATTTTGGAGAGCAAACAAGAGCGGTAAATCCAAGCCAATTTTCAGGTATAATTACTAGCGTTTTATAAAATTGGACCAGACGCATCCACCTCATTCCTGCATTGGTTTATTTCTCATTTTTCAAGAGATAATAAGCTAAGAGAGCGAATCCCCCATACATGGCCCTATTCCTATGAAATATATTTGAAATCTATTTTTGGTTCTGGAACTGCGTGGCTATTTTAATGACGCCACCTTATTGGTCGGTTAGAACGGTGTCGTGTAATTTTATGCTTGATGGTTAATTCATTTCACTAACCATCACGTAGTAAGGGACGTAACGTGCGAACGTTTTGATAAAACTTAAATTGTCTATCGTCAATTCAATATATTTTGAGAGTTGAGGCATTTAATCCCAGTAAGTTTTCTGATATATCACATCTACCTATTATTTTCCCTTGCTAGTGATCTTTTTTGATCCTTTATTCTTTCAGGAGGTTTCTATTCGGACACGAAGGCTTTTGTAAATGACGGCTGCCGAAACTGCTTCATTGGAACTTTTGTACATTACAATCAAGCACCCGGGAAAAGACTGTTTGACTGCAAGGCATGTCCAGAAGGTAATTCTCTTAAACTCCCACTCTTACCGCATTATGGAGCATAATATTAGTTATTATTTGATCCAAATTCTTCTTCCTTCTCATTAGCCGAGACCCTATCACGTGACCGCAATTAACTGCCTACAAATAATTGTCTGCTCATGCGCAATGTCGTCCAACTTTCTTTGCCTGCGAATAGTATTCTCCTTATGCGATTGCTCTTGCGAGAAAATGGCAGCTTCCCGAAGAACGTTGAGCAAACGCTCCTGGAAAAAGGTGGTTATAGTTATATGTATGTCCATATTGTATTTAGCTATAATTAAAACTAGAGGTTACAAATATGCGTGTAATGCTGCACCCAGATACTGGGTATCTGAGAAACGGTGAACTGACATACGCATGCAATTAATAGATGTGGGATAAAGGAGTACAAGGGAGTTACGATTTCTTTGTGATTTTGAAGGTGTTTACGCGCGCCACAATAAGTAAAAGGTGGCGCAAATTGGAATAACACAACGAGAGTGGAACGATTTTAAATAAAGTTATGAAGACATTACTGGATAAACTTGCTAATTCGAATCATCCTGACAAAACATAAATCCGTATTATAACGCCTAAAAAGCGAAAGGACTGACAAAAGAAACCACAAGAGACCCAAATATTATTTTTCCTCCACTACACAACCGAACACACAAAACAACACTTGGAGGCATGGGCGCGTCGGTCAGCCAGGCCAAAACACTTTATTAACTCACATGAAAAACTCCACTGTTACAGTCATTCTAAGAACACGCCAGAGCCGGACACGTAAAACCCGAAAAAAAAAAACTATTGGAAAAATAGGGACCGTGTAACCCCAACCTATGCTATGGCGTCGCCTTTGGGGTTATAAGGCAAAACTAATAAAATAAAGCCTAATAACATGAATACGAGCAGAAAACGAGATGCTACATAAAATAGCTAAGAAACATAGGGACCAGTACAGAAGGCAACGAAATTAAGGCTAACAGAATAAGTGAAAACTAAAGTACACAAAGCAATTTGACGCGGCGAGGCCGACCGTAGAATGACACGCATAACTAAACGGTCACGATATCAAACCCCGTAAACGCGATCCCTCGCGCGCTACACTAGAGCCCAGTTCTCCGTTCTGTGCCGGCAAAATAATAACTTGTGTCAATTCTAATTTACACAAATTATATAATGTGCTGCTCACCTGGGGACTCGAAGCAGATAGGTAGCCAATAGCTGCAAGCGTACCGTCTAAGAAAGCTGGACTTATTTAGGGACGGACCATTAGAAAACTTATAGGGAGGGGGGGGGGCGGGCAAAGTACAAAAAAATATTCGCGCAAGAAAAATTAAATGAAAAAAAATTCATGCACGCCAATTAATCCTAAAAAATATTCATACTATGGCCTAAAAAAAATTCATACATGGAATTTGATAACGAAAAAAAATTGCTTCGGCTCGAAAATTTCCCTCCTCCTCCCCCCCATAACTTTTCTAATGGTCCGTCCCTAAGTGTAAGTTAGAAAGGTGTGAGAAAAGAACAAAGAGACAAGAGACAAAATAAAAACGACAACAACAACAAAAACAAACGCTTTCTTTTTTTGAAGAAAATAGTCCATTTTTAGTCCATTTTTAGAACAAAGTGCGCCACTCTCAACGTCATTTGGGACCTTACGACACCACGACGGCGACGGTAACGTAAACGTCTAAAACACAATAGTTTTTTTTTTTTTCTGAGGAAAACAACAACTCTGCATGTACTTTACATTTCTTTGCTGTCCCTGCACAACTACGTTGGGAAATGTCCAAATGACTTGAAAACGGGAATGGCAAAGCGATAAAATGTACTTATTCTCTCTGAACTAGGACACGTCCCCTCTTTTAGTTCCAACCTAACTTCTATATTTTGAAGTAACTGGGTGACTTTTTTTCATGGGCGTCGCCATTTTCGTATCGTAAGGTCCCTTCTAATCCTTTGCCGTAAGCCACTTTTAAGGAAAAAGCCGCATTTTGGACCAAATCCTTCTTTTTGAACTGTTTTTCGGCCAGTTAGCATGGGAATAGCTAGAAAAGAGATTTCCAACACTCAGGACTTAAGAGCGGCCGTCCGTAAATATCGCCTGTGGGCGTGCAAAATGAAAAAATCTCAGAATGTAGCTCTAGGTGAACAATTTCTAGAAAAATAACTTTTAGTTCGATTAGATTTTTCTTTAACGCGTGCCGCGACCGAGTCGGTTCGGAAGCTCTGACGGCATTTCTCATGGGCTAATGATCATATATTACTTAAAAATCGTTTACAAATTAAAGAGGAAACAAATTCTGCTTCTGGGAATCGTAACAGAAAGAGCTCAACTTAAACAATTGTTTTGATGTAAAATTTTCCTATTCAATGGCAAATTAAGTATTTTTTAGATTTTTAATTATTTTACTTATTTTCCCCATTTTTCACGGACAAAAAATAGCAAAACTTCAGACTCGAAAATCACTCCTTGGTATACAGCTTTGGACCATAGCTTTCCTACCAATAGAAAGAGCAAGGTGTCTTCTTTACATAAATGCAATAAAATTTTTGGGCAATCCAAAAGGCAAAATGTTTTGAGCACCCAACAAAAGCGACCGTTGAGGTCAAAACACGCCATTTTGTCACGACATTCGAAGGGCAAAAACAACAATACTCTCGTTGTTTAAAATATTTTTGCGCTTTGTAGCACAGAACGCCTTGTATTTGCCAAGAGAGTTTGCTTTTTAAGTAGTTGTATGATTTCTTTTGTTCATTTTGTTGGAAATCGTTTGCTAAAAAGTGACATTTGCGATCGACTTGCAATATCTAAATTCTTTGTTATTGCTCTCGACCGGGAAACTTTTCAAACTTTATAGTTTCGCAGAACTTAAAATATTTCACGCACGATTAAACAATAATTGTTCCTTTCATTATAAGAGACTAACTAGTTATACACCTACCAATATTTTTAAGCTGATTCAATATATACAAACAGGCTTCCATCCTATGCAATGCCGAGTTACCGAGTACTTGTACTTCACGGAATGTCACAATTGCGTGACACAGGGGCGCAGGTAATGCACCTCAAACCGGAAGCTTACTATTGAGGGATTTAAGGTTTAAACGACTTGTACAGGTAAGGCTACCTCGCATATGTCGTATTCTTAATTAGCTGAAACTTTTGTTCCCCTATACCTTTTCTGGCGAGTAATCAAAGACATGAAAACATCCATAATCCCAATTCCGTATCCCTACTCACTGCCCTACACGACCTCCGCACCCGCACAAGCCGAGAGACAATCCTGCGTTTCAGTAGACTAATTTACGAGGGTACTTTTGTGTATCGACATGCTAAATATCTGTTATTATGCAATAAAACTGGAATAATACTGTAGCGGGAAATTTGAGTGAGTAGGTGGACGGAGTAGGAGCTTTGAATGTTTCCGTATTAGTCCAGACACCCAAATTTCAATAATAATATTAGTTGCAGGAGCACGATTTTACAAGGCCCTCAATCAATTTTACGTAAGGTGCTTTACGTTTCAGTGAAACACCTTCGCACTTCAGATCAAAATAACAGCATATTAAATGCAACATTGACACGCTGAGCTTGGTCAGTTTCCTTTGTTCGCACATTTCACACAGATTGTACGTGTCATACATGACTGGATGAACAAGCTGGCATTCCTGGATTATATGAGAGCGCACAGAAGAGTACCCATCTTCCTCTTCAACGGCTTGAACATCGCACTCATCAGCATCATCGCAACTTTCGGACTGACGTAACTTCGCTGCAGCTCTTGAAAAATAGGATTTAATTTGCTGAGGTGAAAGGAATTCAGCTGGTGTGAACATGCGGCTGCCATCTTCTTCTTTTGCGTGCCTCATATCTCTAGCCACGTCTTCCGGGTCTGTTTTATGTCCAGTTTGTTCACCGATCTTGAACTTTTCGTTTAATTTCGTTAAATTGAATCTAGAACTTTTTTTAGTTAAACTTAGGGCCCAACCCGGTGATAGCAGATGCCCCGCCCTCTTTTCTACCTCAACTGAGCCCGCTATAAAAGGCTGTGCACTGGCACCTTCTTCGAGTTTTTCGAAGTACATCATCTTCGCCTTGTCTAAGAGGCTGTGTTTCTCCTCGAGAAAATGGCATTTTTCATAATGCAAGTGGCGCTCAAGATTATAGTGGCGTTGAAAGGTACTTACGCATCCCTCCACTGAACAATAAAATAGCGGGCTTTCTTGGTCAGCGGAAACAACACTTTCCTCTTTTATCGACGACTCTTCCTTTCTATTATTAGAGGCCTGGGCGCTTTCACATGAAGAGACATCTTGAAAGTCTCCTTCGGAAAATGAACAATGTGTAAAAACTGGTACCTCTAGCGGGCCTATTTGAACTAAATAACGAAAGAAAAAAAATATTAAAAGAGAAATGCCTTCAGAATTTTTCATCAAAACACTTTAGTAGCGGATTATGGATGCTCAATCTCACTAAAACAAACGTTACTTCAAAAGTATTGTGTACTTATCTTTTTAAGCCTAGTGAATGGGCATGCTGAAATTACAACAGTTCTCAACCTACTTTAAAATTAAGAGCGTTGCAGCTATCTCTTGTAGTTCTCATTGATGTCTATCCAGTTACGATACGTTGTAACAAAACTAGTGCCAAAAATTATGAGTTAGTTATCTATAACTTCTAAGATGTCTGACCTTCCAGTTGTGTCCATGGTACTTTCTTTCCTTTACCCACGTCAAATGCTTTCCACGCTGTGAGCTCTCGGTCTCCCAGATGGAAGTTGTTAAGGCTGCTAACTCCCTCTAATTTCCCACGTAGAGACGTTGGACGCACGATGGACATGTCGATCAAAGCCACCTGAACACCTCTAACACCACCATGAGAGAGCATTGCATCTCGAAAGTCTTCTGCGGTGACCACATCGTGACCTTCGTTAGGATACCTTAAGACGTGACCTTAAATCGTGGCCGCTTTTCTGTCACAGGGCCCGTTGCCGCCTTGCGGGTCGCTAAAATTAACTCTTTCGACTTTAATTCCCGTTGCAGTAGTAATACTGGTTACTTCATCACACAGCCAATCAGAATCGAGTATCTCAAACACATGACTGAATTAATTCACTCTCGACCAAGCAGCGTCCAGGATTTCATGGGGGTTAGTAATACATGTAAAACCATCACGAAAAGTCTCCCAACATTCCCCCGTCATGTAAGACACACGAGAAGTCATGTTTCAACCAATTTTATTGTGACGTCATACCTAGCATTTCAATCGGGACGTGTGTGACCTCCTATTGACGTCACGCCCATTTCGTTTTAAAAAGTTTACAAAGTCATCAAAAAATGGCCGGGAAAGCGGTGGTTCGGTGGCCATCGCCGGTACTGGCAAGAAGTTCTCGCTTTCGGCCGATGAGTCCAGCCAGCCAGGTGGGACTCGAGGCTTACAGGTTCGAATCCTGTCGGGAACGGTTTTTTTTTTCTTTACAAATCTAATAAAGTATCTACATTTTGTGCGTCGCACTCTGTCAACACTCGGTATCCATTGAAATCGATACTGTGTATCGACAAACCTATGAAATACCTGTCGCAAAAACTACAAGACGATTCAGAAAAAGAGGGCTCTTTTAACCCTGATTGGATAGTGAACAATCTATTATGTGTTCAACATACAAACGCGCTCTCCGTTCAATCATGATTTCATTCTTAAAAGTTCAGTTTGCTCGGAAAAAAGTCTTAACTCTCACCAATATTCTTTGAAACATTGTCCAGCGTCAAAGGATAGCCAGTTTTATTGGACATGTGTTCTAACTAACTTATGCGGCTTTGGTTGACAAACTCATCCAACAAGAAAAGCTGAATCACTGCGACGGTTGTGCTATTCAACACCCAAGTCAAAACCAACATTCTTGCCTCATGATGGATAATGATGACGCATGGAAGTATTACCACGATGAAGTGGTGGAACAAATTGACCTGAATTCTATGTTGAACGCTACCGAAAGTATATGCAGTGCTCTTGGCTTCAAACTAGATAAATCATGGGAAGCGTACTGCCAAATATTGTCGTGGACCAGTATTTACCTCGCTTCTCTGGAACTTGATGTTGTCGAGTAGGGTGATGATCTTCAAAGCCGTATTTTATACCCTCTACACTACCGACCAAATGGGCTCAAATGGAAGGATTTCAGTGATCAACAAGAAACAATAGAATGTCCTGATAGAGTCGTGAGAAAAGAAGAACACCAATAGACCTTGACATGATAATTAATGACATTCAAAATAAGCTTTGTTTCTAAAAGTAATAAAATTTCTTCATGATGACTAAAAGTTTGAGTCGGTGTGTGTTTGTCTGTCGGCGTGTATGTCGTCATTGCCCGATACCGGGATGTCACTCTAAATTTTTAGTTCGATTAGCAAACCATTTGGCTCAGGTACACGAGCTGTCTGACTTAGAGAGAAAATATTGGGTCCAGTTTGCTAAATTACAAAATACCAACATGGTTCGAGTTTATGATAAAGATACTCTGCCAAAGACCATTTCGCTATAAATAAGAGCAAACACAGTTGAACCAGTCAGTTGTCAACATGGACCCAAGGTGGAAACACCCCTTTCCTGCTATTGTAGCTGGCCCAACTTGTTGTGGAAAAAGTCATTTTGTCAAACACCTGTTGGAATCTGGAGGAGAATTAATAGACGGAGCTCTTGAAAATATCATTTGGTGTTATGGAATACACCAACTGGCTTACGATGAAATGCTAAGGACTATTCCCAACATCACGTTCGTCGAAGGAGTTCCTGGTGATTTAGAATCTATGATAAACCCAACCATTCGGAATTTAGTGGTCATTAACGATTTAATGCAGGAGCTTAGCAATGATCAAAGAATTACCAATTTGTTTACTAAGGGCTGTCATCACCGAAATTTAATCGTTATTTTCGTTCTTCAAAATATTTTTCACCGGGGAAAATAACTGAGAGACATGATTTTGAATTGCCATTATTTGGTGATGTTCAAGTCTCCGCGAGATAGCAGTCAAGTCAGTCACTTGGCGAAACAGATGTTTCCCGGTCATGTCAAATACATGCAAGAAGCGTTTCAGGATGCGACAAAACGCTCTTATGGCTACCTGTTATGCGACCTCAAACCGGAAACACCTACCGACTTCGGGTTGCGCACAAACATTTTCCTGGGGAGACTCAGCTCGCCTATGTCAGAAAGGTATAAAAAAGCTCCGTCATAGTGATTGATATCAGTTGAGTATGGCCCAGCGACTAAGAAAGAACCACGATTTTCTTAAGCTCCTCGTCAAGTGTACCCCAGCTCAACGTAAAGCAATTTTGAAAGCAGCCGACGACGCTTTAGTAAAAACCATTTGTGAGTGTGTATTCAACGTGCTTAAAGAAACAGTCCCTGTCAGTAAACCGGCAACAAGCACAAGAAAGCCTTGCCTGCTCTAGCTGAAAAGAGTACCCCGCTAAACAAGAAAAAGCAAATCTTGATACAACACGGAGGAAACTTTTTAAGTGTTTTGCTACCTCCCGTTCTTCGAGTGTTGAGCTCGCTTCTTAGTTAAGATGAATCATACAAGACGCACGGTTCTCGTTCCTGAAAACACTCTGGAACGATTGCAGCAACGCCAGCAGATATTAACACCACCTGTAACACAAACTCTGAAAAATCTGGATAGCCAAATGGGGGATATTTTAGAAAGTAAACAACTTGGTGATGAGCAAAAGGCGAAGCTTTACAATCAGGTGTTGCAACGGTACTTGACTTATTACGATCAGCGGAAAGGCCAGCCTCTCCATGTGAAGTTAACGACCCCTAAAACAACAGAAACCCCCAAACCAGCTGAGAACGCAGAATCTACGGAGGAAGCTTCTCCAGATAATTCTCTTCCAACAGCAGTAGAGGAAGAGGTCATGAAAAGTGTACCCAAAATTTACAAAGCTGGGGCTAGACAGTTGTTGGATAAAGTTAAAAAACACCAGTATGTGTTGCACTGGAATGATAAAGGAGAGCTGTTGTATGAAAACAAACCAATCCCAGGTTCTCATGTGGTCGACCTAGTCAACGACACATTGCGTCACCGAAAAGGATTTCAACCAGTGGGATGGTCCGTGTTTGCGAGGGGCCTGGCGCGAATGAATGTACCCGAAAACTTGGTTCGTAATCCCCAAGGTCAGAGTGCCATAACAGAGTTTAAAGCAAGAGTGAGAGAGGAGACCCCAGAAAGTCCTTCGCGTTGGCTACCCACCCCACCTGTGACGTTATCTTCTGTCAAAAAGCAGAGGCACAGAGTAGAGAGTCCTCGCCCTCAGGCTGTTCGATGGTTACGATTATAAATCATGACAAGAGACTTTTTTTATTGTGAAACACAAAACTTTATTTTTTAATTCAATAAAATGTGTTGAAAAGAAATTACATGGTGTTTGTTTACTGAACTTAGTGTTGCGCTTTTGCTCTTTGCTTGTTTACATCAGTACGATATTTCGGAAAACCTATAGGAAAATGTTTTTCAATAAATCGTTTTACGAGACTATCATTTTTACTCGTGTCTTTAGAAAGACGATGGACAATAGCACTCATACTTATATACCGACTACGATATAAAGCAAAATACAAACAGTAATGTCCGCAGACTATTGAATAGATGCTTTGTAATGTCACAGTATTAAAAGTCCACTGGTTAGAATTGTTTTTAAAAAGGCAGTAAATGTTCCTGAATATTTGCTGGGTGGTGATCCGTAAGAATCGAAAAATTCTCCCTCTTGCTCCTTGGGGAAATAAAACGCCACTTAATGCGAACCTGGCTTGTCACTCGTATCCACATTGGCGATAAACAGGGCTGGGTAATGTGAAACACTTTCAGACAGCTGGTCTGAGGCATACACGCCTTGAAACAAACCTCGTGTAAATTTATCCTTTCTCAAAATAAGGGTCAGTTGAATAGTGTCCATTTTTAGTTTGTGTAGTCTAACAACACGTTGCGGTTCCCGTCAATTTCAATCACGTTTTGGAATTCAGCGGACACGATAAGGTTAACCGTATTGGCCAGCGGTTCCTTGAAATGAAGCTCAGCGCGCAGGTTACCTTGCTTTATTAGCTCAAAATGGTCACCTGAGCAGTTGTCTGGGGACAAGTCAAAGCAGAATGCTGTGTAACCAGAGCCATAATCGCTTCTACTGATTTGATTACCCGCATCTTGGGATAGCTTTCCAGTGCCTGAGAACAGGCTTTGATAGCCCGCTATTACATTTTGACCTCTAGCTTCGTCAAAATTCAAGAACAGGGGTTTCCGAGGAATTTGCTCTCCGTCCGCATAGACACCCACTTGAGTTAGATTGTGGTGTTTGAAGTTGAACGGGTTGGTACTGTAAGTTCCATTATATGCCTGAGTATCCACTAAGACCAGCACGATTCGTTTAGGAATGTGACCCAAAAAGATGTTGTCGGGGTTAGAACTGCTAAATCCTCTTGGAATAGACAGCACTTTACAATCGAAATCCTCTTAGAATAGACAGCACTTTACAATCGATTCGGCGAACCGGGTACTTGGCGCTGGAGTGTTTTAGTGCAGCCGCATGGCCAAGTATAATAGAGGAGGCCAATTTCACCCGGCGAACGAACAAGATGGCTTCTGTGATTACCACCTTGAAAGTTGGAGCGGCTGCTGATGACATCAGACAAAACGAGTTCTTGGCTCGGTTCAGTTTGATTCTTAAATTCACTCCATTTAGCATCAACCGGTCTTGAAAGAAAATGTCGCTATGAATGGGCCCCATCATATCCACAATATGACTTTCTTTAGTGAAATCATAGCGAACCTTTAACCCCTTGTTTGCAGCATCGTCTGCAGCCACAGGGTTGGCAACATCCATTTTTCCAGGGGTATCTTTGTAAAACATGGCCATAGAAAGTTGACTTGTTTTTGCTTCTTCTCCGTAGTTTAGCAAGGTTTCGATCATGGCGCGATAAGGGTAGGTATTGGTGGATGGAGAGATCAATCGCTCGTGCAAGGAAACGTCCACTTGGGAAAACAGGGAATGTAAAAACAGGTTCACGGGACCTACTTGTGTATCGGCGTCTATGGCGGTTCCATTTGCTTTTGTGATCTTGGCTTTAACAAATAACTGAGTACGTGCCAAGTCCAAATACTCATCTCCGGTTCCCGAAACATAAAATTCGATCGGACCACTGTCCGTGATGTTACTGATGGGGTGGTACTCGATCCATTGCCCTTTGGATATAGAGGTTTGTGTTGCAGGAATCGTTAAAAAAAATCCAACTCTGATTTCGTACATTCCTGAGACTCGTGATGCACAAAGGCCATAGTTACTTCCCGAAAGAAAATTTCTCTTTGGGCTTCTTTTGCTGCGGAGATGTTTTTGCTTTCTTGCCTTGAGGCGAACTGATTTTGGTTCCTTGCCCTTTTCTTTTTATAGCTTAATTGCCAACTCCTGATTGTGTCTGCAATGAATTCTGAGAAGGTAGACGGAGGGCTTGTTTCGTGCGCTTGTGGACTGCTGTTTTAATGTTATCTCCATCAAGAACATCTTGGACGACATTGACACCTGTTTATAAAGCCTTTTTTCCAATCACCTTAGCACCCTGTTGAAGGTGAGGCATCGCCCAGCGAAACAGACCTCTGAATATGGACCCTAGTCCATAACCATTCTGAAATCGAGCACCGTGAAACGCTGGTAAATTCCCACCTTTTTGTTTGGCTTGATTAACATAGTACTGTTCGTACAACTTGTGATTTGGAGTGTGGAATTTTTTCATCTTTAAAAGTACTGAGGTGCACTTTGACGAAAATGAAGTGTTAACAACACTCTCCCAAACTCAAATGGTACAGACTCCCCTTGTGTCTGTCTTTATATTGACTTCGACAGTTTCAAATTGCTTTCTGCTGACAGGTAAATATTGGGGGCGCAAAAATGATTTACTGACTCGCTCCCCAACCTTTCCTTCTACAGGAACAATTCGAAGCAAAGGTACCAATGCATCTCCAACATATTGTGACTGAATAAGATCACAGTAAATGAAAAGGTCGTGAAAGCCGTATTCCAAATCCACTTGTCTTTCAGCGGTAGAGGTATTAGAAATAATTTCTTCTGGTGAAAATCCCGGCAGGTATCCAATGTTACCAAAGAAAAGTTCTACGTTATTTTGTAGGTGAACAGTCACCTTTCTAGTGAACGCATCGTAGGAAAATGTCACGTCGTCATTGAAACGCTTTACATTCTCGATCAGCTCTTTCATCTTTGATAAGATATCTCCAATGGAAGAATAATGACCTGGTAGTACAATTAGTGCTTCCCATACTCCGGACAATTCTTGGTTCCGAAGGTAGAATCGATTACCAAAATTTTCTTGGACATTATTCCAGCTGTGAGGATAGTGAATTTCCGTTAATGCTACTTCCCAATCCCCCGTCAAGCTAACGGTCTGAGGTAAACCAACTTGGTACTCAGTTAATGTGTTGCTGGGAAACTTATCGAGGCTGCTATTGCTAGGGAGATGCAGATAAAACTGTTTTACCTCCATCGTACCCTGTGTTGAAATGAACTTTTTAACCTGGGTATTCTTAATTTATTAGAAACCACAAACCATTCATTTTATTATTTCATTTTCTTTTATTCACTACACAAAAAATGCATAAATTACAATTTCAAAATATCTCTTTCTTGAACCCAAGAATCAAATTTTGGATCTTTGTATCCTTTCCATCTCACCAGATACTCTACTACGCCTTTACGCTTTCTCTTCCGCAAAATCTTCTCGACGCGGTACACATCATCGTTCTTAATAATTTTCTGTAATTCGGGTTCATAAAATGTTCCATCTAAGATTTCACCTGCATCATCTTTTAGTTTATAAACGGGTACTTGACGAGCCATTCGCTTGTAAACAGTGAAAATTTCTTCCGTAAAATTAGGTAAGATTTTTCAAACATTCTCTTCACTTTGCTAATCCTGACGCGATCTCCCACTTGAATTTTATATCGCACAGGCTTTTGAACATCATCCCCATACAAAGTATCCCACACTTTAGCTTCATTCGCTTTAGTCACCTGACTCGGTTTCATTTTAATACTTCGGTGGTAAGTGTTATTGTAAGAAGACACTAACTGGGATAATACATTGATATAGGAGAGAGTGTTTTTGGCCGTGAAATATTTGTACATCTTATTCTTAAATGTTCGGTTAAAACGCTCAACCACTGAGGCTTTGAGCCCAGAGTTAACAGTGAAAAAGGCAATGTTGTTGTCACGCAGAAATTTCTGGAACACGAGCTTCTTGAGCTCTGCTCCTTAATCTGTTTGCAGTTTGGTGGGTTTGCGACCAGTAGAAAGGATCTTTTGAAAGGCTTTGACCAGTTCCTGACCTTGTTTTGTCTTCAACGGTAACACAAACGCGTACTTGCTGAAGATATCTATACAAGTCAGTAAGTATTTATAGCCCTTGTTGTAGCGACTGAGATTTTGGAGGTCGACCAAATCCGCTTGAAACTGCTCATCTATTCCAAAAACGATGACTCGACTTCTCTTGTAGCGTCTTCGCGCGAATTGTGAAGAGTATAAACATCTTGCTGATTCAAGCAATCTCGGACTTGCTTACGCGATATCTTGTTCTTTCCTTTCTCTTTGACTTCTCTGTAAAAAGCATCTAAACCACCGAAACTTGCGGGTTGACTTGGGTCGAGGTAGATGCTGGCTAGTTTTTTCTCCATCACAAAATTCCAAGTTTTGTACAACCACTTTACCACCGCAGCAAGCTAACACACAAGTATGCGACTGAAAATGTGTTCAAAGCCAAAAGTGGATGATGGCGGACAGCAACCCATCACTAGTGTTTACCTGAACGGTGAAAGATGTATTGACTTCTCTCTCGCTGGTGCTCCTTTATATAGCTACTGTCGAATCTGGGTGAGAGTGGGAACAAGAAGGTGAAGTAGTAGTTCCCATTCCTCCTCGGTTAATTCTAGCTGATTCGCGAAGTTCAAAAATACCACCAGTCGTCCCCAGTTTACTTTTGAAAAGGCCTCAGAGTGGAGTTTTTTCAACCTTTCTAGACTCGAACCCGGCAGATCTTTAAATTTTTGTTGAAGCATTTTCATTTCACTTGAAGACACTTTCAATGTTTTGGCTTGTGCGCGATACAGAGAAAAGTCGATCCGAAGCAAAGACAGAGAAAGCCCCATCTTGACTAAGACAGAGACAAACACACACTGACTCACAATTTAGTCATGAAGAAATTTTATTACTTTTAGAAACAAAGCCTATTAGGAATGTCATTAATTATCATGTCAAGGTCCATTGGTTGACACGAAGTTTATGACTATTGAGAACGGGCCACAGGGGCCACAGGGGCCACAGGGGCCACAGGGGCCACAAGGGCCTTCTATATCACTGTATTTTTCCTTTACGCGGGTGATTGAATCGCGCGTGGCGCACACTCGCACGCGCGGCTAGACAGACAACAAACCGTGTTTAGTATATTAAACCATATTTATTTACAAACTATGAACAAATGACATTTTTTTACACATAAAGGAAAACTCTTTATATACAATGCGATACAGAGAAAAGTCGACCCCAAGCAAAGACAGAGAAAGCCCCATCTTGACAAAGACAGAGACAAACACACACCGACTCAAACTTTTAGTCATCATGAAGAAATTTTATTACTTTTAGAAACAAAGCTTATTTTGAATGTCATTAATTATCATGTCAAGGTCTATTGGTGTTCTTCTTTTCTCACGACTCTATCAGGACATTCTATTGTTTCTTGTTGATCACTGAAATCCTTCCATTTGAGCCCATTTGGTCGGTAGTATAGAGGGTATAAAATACGACTTTGAAGATCATCACCCTGCTCGACAACATCAAGTTCCAGAGAAGCGAGGTAAATACTGGTCCACGACAATATTTGGCAGTACGCTTCCCATGATTTATCTAGTTTGAAGCCGAGAGCACTGCATATACTTTCGGTAGCGTTCAACATAGAATTCAGGTCAATTTGTTCCACCACTTCATCGTGGTAATACTTCCATGCGTAATCATTATCCATCATGAGGCAAGAATGTTGGTTTTGACTTGGGTGTTGAATAGCACAACCGTCGCAGTGATTCAGCTTTTCTTGTTGGATGAGTTTGTCAACCAAAGCCGCATAAGTCAGTTAGAATACATGTCCAGTAAAACTGGCTATCGTTTGACGCTGGACAATGTTTCAAAGAATATTGATGAGAGTGAAGACTTTTTTCCGAGCAAACTGAACTTTTAAGAATGAAATCATAATTGAACGGAGAGCGCGTTTGTATGTTGAACACATAATAGATTGTTCACTATCCAATCAGGGTTAAAAGAGCCCTCTTTTTCTGAATCGTCTTGTAGTTTTTGCGACAGGTATTTCATAGGTTTGTCGATACACAGAGAATTACAATTTCGCAAAGAAATACATGTTCTAGATGATTGTGAAACAACATTCCTTGACTTTTTTCGAAGTGGGAAGTCAATGTCTTGATCGGTTATTTTTTAAAATAGACAAAAGCTAAACGGCTAATTCTTAATTGCATTTTTTTTACACAATACCTGGTCTTAAGTTGAAGATTTTTGCATAATCAACCCGCGTCGTGTTTGTCCAAAGACAACTATGGCTGAGAAATAATTCTCTTATGGTGGTCCGTTTTCCAACAAACTACAGCTACAACGGATTGCATTTCAAAAAGTATGGTGTGAGGAAATGACGGAGAAGCAGATTATGAAACCCACGTTGATCAGCACAACTGCCATTATTACGCAATATCTACGATTATCCTGATGCCTTATTGGAAATGAACAATTTGTCCAAGCGAAGATTACAACAAAATATTTTAATTGTATCATGATCTGAAAAAGGACCTACCTACGAACCAAGATCTAAGTTACAGAGACAATTTGGTAGACTACACGTTAAGTGATGATGTAACCATTAGCCAAATCAGTTATCCTTTTGGATACCGAGTGTTTACAGAGTGCGACGCACAAAATGTAGATACTTTATTAGATTTGTAAAGAAAAAAAACCGTTCCCGACAGGATTCGTGCCTGTAAGCCTCGAGTCCGACCTGGCTGGCTGGACTCATCGGCCGAAAGCGAGAACTTCTTGCCAATACCGGCGATGGCCACCGAACCAACGCTTTCCCGGCCATTTTTTGATGACTTTTTAAACTTTTTAAAACGAAATGGGCGTGACGTCAATAGGAGGTCACACACGTCCCGATTGTAACGCTAGGTATGACGTCAGAATATAATTGGTTGAAACATGACTTCTCGTGTGTCTTACATGACGGGGGAGTGTTGGGAGACTTTTCGTGATGGTTTTACATGTAGTACTAACCCCCATGAAATCCTGGACGCTGATTGGTCGAGAGTGAATTAATTCAGTCATGTGTTTGAAATACTCGATTCTGATTGGCTGTGTGATGAAGAAACCAGTATTACTACTCGTTGCTTTCTCCATAAGTCCACAGGCAGCTAACATGGTTACACTGTGATAACACCCAGCATTGTCCTGGCGGAGAAAGGCAGTTGTTGTTTCAGGATGGTCCATTTTGAGCTGCTGCAAGGTGTGGCGTAAAACGCTTACCACCGCGTCACTGTCTTGATTACAATTCTTCGCAATGTGGACAAATGCTCGGTGTTGCAGGTTTCCCTTTCGACGTACGACGGTACTGATATGCCAAGAGATTCCTCTCTTAGCAAACCAGTCGGCTTGGGTTTCCCGGCACTTTCGGGGCAAGAATTTCATCGCCCAGTCTTGAGTGATTAACACTGAACTTTCTGCCAGGGTATCTATGATGTTTGTGCAGGCCTTATCCTGTTGAATAGATCTCAGTTGATGACCCTTCCAAGCTTCTATTGCTGTATAAGCTTGCTGAAACGAGTACATGACGTCATCCTGGTCTTCTTCATCCAGGTTCGCTTCGCTCAAATTCAACTCAATTTCTTTTAAAGTGTCTTTCAGCCGATCACGAAAGGGACAACTCTTGTCGAGGGCGTGGTCACACATTTCTTGAAGACACTCTTCTTTTGTATCAGTTAGGGCGTACGTACTACAGTGGCCGGGGATACTGGAGGCTCTGGTGATATGAACCTGCGAGAAAGTAGAACAAAAACAATAAGCTATATCTACTAAGAAGAATTTCTTCATTGTGTTTTTGAAATTTCTGGGTAAATTTTGAATTCCACATCTTAAAAAAGAAATCATCAACCTATGATTGCCCAAAGAACTAGACACGATTTTATGACACATCTTTTACTGCGGTTATACGATTAATTTTATTTAATAGTATAAAAGGGGTAACTAAGCATAAAAGGGAGGCATAGCTAAATTAATTTTTAAGGGTTCAACTGATCGCCTTTGCGTATTTATTTCTTTTATGTGATTACCCTTTCAGTGTTTATAAATGGTTGTAAAATATATACCTTGTAGTCAGTTTTCAAATACTGTTTTCCCTCATTCAGAGCTTGCTCGCATCTAACGACCCACCTCAGGTAAATTGAGGCATGGGTCACACTTTCAAAAATGGAATTCTTAGTTTAAATTGCTGCTGTTCAAAGAGATTTTTACCAAATGGCATGAAACTTGGCAGGTTGAATCTACATGTCATGGGAATTATGGCTTGTGAAAATCACGTGACCTTATCACCTGGTCAGCGTCTAAGGAAGAAAAATTGGCGCCAAAAAATACATTTGTTCCTTTGCAAAATAAAAATGGCAAAGAAACAAAGTTACTGCGACCCGATGAATGCTTTTCCCTACGATGTTATGCTTTCGGTAGGGTAATTGTTCTAAACGGACCAAAGAATTCCTTAGGAAAACTCATACTACCAATAAAGTCTTAACATAGGCTGCTATTTTCACGTTTAGTCTATGTTAAAAGGTAGGAATTAAATACTTCTTTACAGAAGATATTGACTTGTAATGGCTCCTTATTCTTGTCGTTTTGAACGCGCACAGTGCTTTACCGCTCTTCGCGCCTTCATGGGCTGTAATTTATGACAGGCGCGGTTTTTTTGGCGGTAAGTTCAAAATAAATTAAGTTCAGGGCCTATGCTTTTACGCTTTGAAGCAGCACTTTCTCAAAAGTAATTTGTATGCACTTTCCAAAGAGACTGCCATTATCTGAAACTCTTCTCAAAGCCTTTTATCGTCAAGGGAGAACTTAAAGTATAAGTTATTTTGGAAAACACGTGGTGAAGTATTTTTTACGAAGCGATTATTTTATTCAACGTGGCGCCCTAAATGGCCAACTTCTTCGGATGTGGATTTGCTCGAGTTGCTGTTAAGCTTAGCATTCTGAAGGCTAATGGAAAGGTGGAGTATGACCACGAACAGAGGTGGGAAAAGTACTCAGAGATTTTCCAAGGGGTACACAAAAGCCGCTTCGAAGTAGACAAAAATTTATATACAAAGCGGTCCAAGGCTCTTGAACACCATTTTAAGAGGTGGAAGACTACCACCAAGAAAACTTATCTAGAGCACTTTAGTCAAACAAACTGGGAAAAGCTAACTGAACACGAGAAAAAGCAACATTCTCTGGCAAATTGCAAGGCTTGTGATGTACATCACTTCTCGTATCAATCTTTATTTCCCCTATGGGGTAACAAGACAAAAACTGTTACACATGAAGGTATTTACAAACAAATTAACAGTCGAATCCTTAAAGAGTCATCTGCTTTGTGAAGGTCACAAAAAAAAGCTCTCAAAAGTGCCACAAAAGAGGTGTATGATACAATTAATACACCTTTTGAAAAGACATTTGGAGTGTCTTTTGCCATTGCACAAACAAGCGTTCCTGAGATAAATGTTCAAGTAAAAAAGTCCAGAGCTGAGTTAAAAAAAAGAAAGGAGAAATCAATCCAGAGCCTGCAAAAAACACATTGAGCAGCCGTGGACAGAGAATGCCTGTGATACAATGCTCGCCACCAGGCAGACCTATAATCAACGGAATGAGCAGCGGATGTTCCTTTGCTTTGAAACTACAGAGGAGGCGGAGACCAGGGCAAAGACACGTAAACTTCTGGAAGAACAAGGCCAGCGCAAGAGGAAAAGGCACTCTCCCAACCCAAAGGATCTTGAGTTTGATGAAAATGAGCTCCCGCAAGAAGTAAATGCAATAAAGGATGGAGAAAAGGTGAGTAAACAACCAAAAATATCATTTAATTCCAATAATTCTAAGTAAATAAAACTTTGTTAGAAAACAATGATAATTGTTATTATTTGGGCCATATACACCTGCTGAGAAAAGCAATTCTCAAATAAGGAAGGTAATATTCAACCAAAAATTAATATTGTAATCAGAAACAGGTCGTAGCTGCTAATACCTCCTTGGTCTGGCATTTTTTCTTATCATTTTTTAAAAAAATTCTTACATGTAAGTGTCATGGTGTAATAAACTGGAAATGTGCTGATAGACAATATGAATTGCCTTTCAGATCAACTTTT